TGCCTGCATTTTGATTGTTCTTTCTGCCTGGAAACTTAGAAAAGTCCATGGCGTCCAAAAAGTGTCCCTTTAGGTCAAAAGCGGGTTTAGACCAGCTAGAGAACAGCGATAGTAAATCAGAACCACTTGCAGAATTCAGTGATAATGATTCGTGGGGAAATTCGTCATCAAACACTGAAAACGATTTTGCGACTTTGCTCAGTGATGTGCGAACTTGGTGCTATATTTCAAATTTCAGTGTTTTTGGTTTGATTATATTATATTATTGAATTAAATGTATGATTTAGAATCTTGTTCAGACAGATTTCAGTGAGTTATTCCTAAAAATTACAGCCTACAATAAAAAAAACTACATATTTCCATGCAAAATAATTGTACCGCTTTCAGCACCAAAAATATGAAATAATCATACCGCTAGGGAGGTTAAACAAAAGAAAGTAGGGAAAAGTTTTGTTGTGAATTAATTAAATTTGTGAAAGTTCACCAAGTGTCTTAACACACTGTTCATCTTTAACAATACCAGCATGTCTCTTTCGGTCTGTTTGTAATTAAGTCACACTACTGCCCCTACCATATTTAAAAGTACTTGTATTTCACTAATAAGTCTGATTCAGTGAAGAACAGGTGTGATTTGATCTTATGTATTTTTATTTCAGCATGTATGCTGTACACGATCCATAACACCTTTGGTGAAATTGAAGATAAAGTGGTTGCAGATCTCGGCTGTGGATGTGGGGTGTTGAGTATTGGGGCAGCTATGTTGGGTGCTGGGTGAGTACAACCTGTTTAGTGAGCTTTCTTTCCTTGTTATTGGCACATTAGGGTTTAGTGAACAACTCTTTGGTACAAAAGCAAGTTTGGACCTGCAGTAAAAAACAAAAAAAATCAACTATTCGGTTTTTGTTTTTTTTTTAGTCTGATTTGACACTATGTAGATTGAAAACTGCATGCTGATGAAACAGATACCTGGGAAAAGTTCCATTCCTTATGGTGCTTCTGAGAAACTACAACATAGATATGACTACATCCTTTGTTCTACCAGATCCAGTCAAAGGGAAATTTTGGACAGTAGGACTCGTGTGCCCTCACAGTTTTATTTCTTTTCCTGAACATTACTATTGTTATCAAAATTAGATGTTACCTAGCATTTTCTTTTTTGAGAAATGCAGGGATGGGTCAGACGTTCCCACTTCTATATCCTTTATGCAGTGGCGATATGCAAATATCCACATTTCATGATTACTCAATTTATCTACTTTGTGATATTGCAATTGTCAATTTAACACACTTTTGTAGCTACTGTCATATTGTATTCACAATTTTTTGTGAACTATTTTCCTATTATCTTGTAAATTTTTAATAATAAAAATATATTCAGCAAACTATTTCTGGTCTTGTGACCATCAAAAGGTTTTGACATCTTGTATCATGCAGGTTATGCCTGGGGTTTGACATTGATGAAGATGCCTTGGAAATATTCAGAACCAATGCTGAGGAGTTTGAACTTACAAATATTGACCTAGTTCAGTGTGATATCTGCTCATTGCCAGCGCACTGTCTGGTGAAAGCTGTGGACACGGTGATAATGAATCCTCCTTTTGGAACAAAACATAATAAAGGTAATTTCTCTAAAGCAAAGGACAAGAATTTATAATATAGGTAATGTTGCATTTTTGAGAATATAAAAAAGCATTTGATTATATAAAATAAAAAAAAAAAACCCCACAGATAAGTGTCAGTTATATCTGTACCATTTTGCTTGGACTTTAAGCCAGAGCATTAGAGTTCAGTTTTAGATAGCATGGGAGAAGTTGGAATCTTTCAGGGCTTTTCCTGATAGCTTTCCTATCGGGGCATACACAGTAATCTGTGACAACATAGGACGGGAGGGGAGAGTCTCCCAAGGGGGATACAACATCAGAGTCTTGAGTAAACAGTTCAGGGAGATTCTCCTAACTTCCATCCTGAAGTTCTCATTTCTCCATTCTGGAATGCTTTCTCAGTGAAGAATCGACTAAGGAGCCAGTGCTACTGACAGCTAGTAAGTTCTCCAAAGAAAAATACAACAATGTGCTTCAAGCAAGGCAGTGAGGACCCATTCACACCACATGTGAGGCTGCATTGTTCAATGTAGGCCCAATGCAATAGAAATCCAAAATCCATGATTTCTAACAGGCACGGTTCACAGTAACATGTTGCATGCTGGGTGAAAGCAGAACATGCTGAAATGGGATTACAGCACACAAAGGAGGGAAAAAAAAAAATTGTAAAAAAAAAAAAAAAAAATTGTAGTTTAGCTCTTCAGGTTTAAAAAAAAAAAAAAAAAAAAAAGTGAATGTATGACAATTTGAGTGCATTTAGTACAGGGCAACATACTAAATGCAACAGAAGTTGTGCAAATCCAACCTTCATGTTCTTTGGATAGAAAAGAAAAAAACCCAGTGCAATACACATGAATTTTCAGATTAGTTTATTTTTATCACCACTGTCTATGCAAAGTCCACTGATGTTTTTGGTTTTTTTTGTATTAGGTATGGACATGATGTTTCTTAAGACAGCTTTGCAAATGGCAAGGACCTCTGTATATTCCCTACATAAGACATCTACAAGAGAGGTAGGGTACTTATTGAAAGATGTCTTCTTTCCTCAATTTTTTTTTCGGAGCACTAAAGTAAAATTGTTTGCATTAGGCTATAGTTAACCTTGGTGTGTCTAAGTATGCACAACTGTGATAGGACAAGTGTTTAATATTCTGAGTTTGTTTTAACAAAGGCCGTTGTTTCTATTTAGCATATCCAGAAAAAGGCTGCTGACTGGAAAGTGAAGATGGATGTAGTAGCAGGTAATCCCCTTTATTTAAAAAGAATAAATTTTGAAATCTAGCAAAAGACTGCAAGAATTACTTTAACTACTTCCTGACCGCCCTATAGCAGATACAGGGCGGCACATGTGCGTAAAAATCACGTATATATACACACACACACGATTTTTCATTTCTGGGTAGGGGGTGCGTACCCTAACTGCACCGCCATTCACAGATGTCAATCACTGGGTCCTGGCTGGTGACTGTCGAGCATCTCTGACAGAGGGAAACTAAGTAAACAATACAGTTCTCCGTCAGCTCGTGGACACGGCTTTGGATGGCTGTGCCTAGCAGTGTGATTAGTGAAACAGCACACAGTTAACACTTTGATCGCCCCTCATGTTAACCCCTTCCTGCCCAGTGCTTTTTTGTAGCACTGATCACTGTATTGGTGTCCCTTGAGATGTCAGGGACACCAAGTCAGTCTCCCCCCCCCCCCCCATGTCGGAATGCCCACCACAGTCCCACCAAGTCGCTGATTGCCACCATTCCTAGTAAAATAAATTAAAAAAAAAAAAAAAAAGTAAAAAATTTTAGTATCTATACCACCATTTGTAAACACTATAACTTACACGTATTGAGATTTATTTTTTTTTATTTAGCAAAGACATAGCCGAATACATTTTGGCCTAAATTTTATTTAAATTTCTTTACTGGACATGTTTAATAGCAGAAGTCAAATAGTTTTTTTTTTCTTTATAGCGCAAAAATAAACTCACATAGGCAATCAAATACCACCAAAAGAAAGCTCACTTTGTGGGGAAAAAAAAAGGACGTAAATTTCACGTGGGTGCAGTGTTGCATGAGTGCGCAATTTTTATTTTTTGGCAAATTAGCATACATCTCTCAGCTTGCAACCCTTTTACCCACTTCTGGGTTTCAAAGAGGCTTAGTGTGCACTGTATGTTACAGCTGTGCCTTTTGTATTGTATCCTCAATGTCTGCGTACACCTCACTTGCCAGACAGATCAGGTCTAAGACAGTTGATCAAACTTAAAATATTTACAAAATGAAATATTAAGACCATATCCTCACTCTCCCTTTATTTTCCAAATTAAATGTGCCAATTCTCTAATATGTGAAAATAGCTCTGAAGCTCAATTGGCAAGAAACCTAAAAAGTAGGGCAGAGGTTGATTGTACAGCTATTTGCACATTCCTATGCTGTAGTTATGGAAATGTGGTGCTAAAAAAAAAAAAAAAACTGAAAATATTTGTAAAGCAAAAACATGGTTTGAGTTTACAACAGTTGGAGCCATTTGTCATTTTTCACTTCATTTACAGAGCTTCGGTATGATCTTCCGGCATCGTACAAGTTCCACAAGAAGAAATCTGTGAGTTGCCATGCATGTAGTGTTCTTGGTTATCAAGTTGTATAGTATTGAATAGGCAATACGGCATTCAATTTGTATATACATGCAAGTGTTTATCAAAGCAACGCTTTTCAAGCTACTCCTAGGGTAGCAAACACCTCTTTGCTCCTGTATTACGGGATAGATCAGTCCACTAGTACCGACAGATCACAGCAGCTAAATGCATTGAAGATTGGAGTTGCTGCCCACCAGATGGGCTTTCATAATTTGAAGAAATGAGGGTTGCTCTAAACCTAGAAAGCTTTCCAAGCCATAGATTTGTAACCCAAAGCACAGAATCTGGTGCTGTTACACACTTCATTTTGCACCAGGTTTCCAGAATTAACCCTCTTAACTACCCCCAAACGCCAAGGTTAAACAATTTTTTTTTTTTTTTTTTTTTTTTTTTACATCAACTGGTCACCAGATTTTTATCTTCCATTTATGAGACCTATAGAAGCAAAGTACAATCTACTTTATTGAATATATTACATGTAAGGTGTCATAGTACATACTCCCCAGAAGAGTTACTAATCTGTATTGAACAAAAGCAATTTGTATTAACATAAATATAAAGTTTCAGTTAGCAATTTACAAGTGCCATTCATTCAATGACTCAAAAGTAACCAAAATAAAAAATTCTTTGCAGGTTGACATAGATGTGGATTTCATCAGATTCTCACTCGACTGACTTTCAGCATCTGTAGACTTAAAATATGCATTCGCTATTTTTGGAACTTTGTTTTTTTTTGTTATAAAAACACACATAAAACCCTAGGCAGAGAGTTACGGGTCTGCAGTCTTCTGTTGCTTTGGCTCTGGTCCTTCAGTGGATTTCTCCTCCAGCTGCCTTTTCTTGGGACTTCCATTTCTGGCAGCACCTGCTCCTTCTGTAAAATGAACTGAAAATCAACATCTGCAACGGCTTCTCACAAATCTGTTCTACTAAAAAAAAAAATTTTTATGCCAAGAACCAAAAGGAGTTTTGTGGAAGACCATGTCAGAATGAAAAAGGACAGCTGCTGCCTATTACTCAAGGAAAGAAAGATCATGCTTGACTGAACTCCAAGAAACAATCAGGGGCAAATGATTTCTATTTTTCTGCAGTCAGTTTTGTGAGCCAAGCAGCCCTTCAGTAGAATACCCAGGTTCTCCATCAGCACAGGTTGTGGATACACACCCTTGCCTGCTGCTAAAGGTAATCCCCACTTAGACTCCTACTTTTGCAGGTTTAATTGCTGCAGAGCCCTAGGACTGCTGCTGCCTTTCCGCCCAGAGCCTCCCTCTACAAAGTCCAAGTGCTGCTATACAAGAGATTTTAGTACACAAATACAGATACTAAAGTCAGTTGCATTTAAAGTTAGAGGCCTCATGCAGTTGACCTTGAAGTCTTTGCAGATCTTCTGTTGACAGAAGCCAAGTGTAATGAAGGCTCATAAAAACCATCTAAATCTATATAAAACAGTTTACATTAAACAGTGTAAAGCTGCTCCTGTGGGGCACTTGTTTAATAAATCTGTATTGAAGAGAGCTACCTTCTGTGTCCTCTTCATCACTGCTTTCAAATTTCTTTTTCTTTCCTTGGAATTGGATTTTCTTCCTGGATGAACCATCATTTCCTCTATCTCCCCTTCCTTTGAATTTCTTAGCACCTGTATTTAGAAGGGAAAAAAAACCCAAAACATTTTAGACAGTTTTTATTAAGTTTGTGTAAAACAGTGCATTTTTATTAAAGTCTGGCTGGAAAAAGGAAGACAAGCAGTCAAGAACCACATTAATATATGCAGCTTCATGTATGGCAATTATTAGCAATCATGCATTTGTGGTCAGAAATCATCTGCGCTGCCCATTTCTGGTAGCACGGATCAGATCTTTTGAAGCTGTCCACTGCACACCCATTTAGTAGTTTCGGGTGGCCTGGAGACATACCATAATTCCTGAAATTCAGCTTAATTCTAGGGCATGAACCAGGACTTTTAGAGGTATGATGCCTCAGTCAGTGAATCACACAAAGATAGCCCAAATCCATATCTTTAATTGTACAAAAGGATAAAGTGTCAATTAAAACCTATTCACATACATCAGTGAATGATCAATTATAGACACCCTAAGGAGGCAGTATCAAGAACCAGTTGAGCATACATCCATACAGAAGGGACTGGGGAGGATATGGCCGGGATTCAAGGCACACTCTATTTTAGTTTTGTCAGCCCTGGCATGCTTGCAACTTTTTATTGTTCCTATCCCATCTGCATCACATTGCCAATGCTTCTGCCTTGTGTGGAGGACCAGTTATTTGGACAGTTTTCCTCTGATGACACCACAGGCCATCTGTGGGTCCCCTGCATCATTTATCAAAATTTCTAAGAGTCATATTGTGTTGATTTCAGCAATTCTGTTGTGACATTTTAAACTTCACCCTCCTGATGAAGCTATTGATGCAAAACATGTTGAGCTTGAGGGGTTTCACTTCATTGATATCAGATTATCTTTACCATTTCTATAATTCAAGTATATATGCTTAACTGGTAACTTGATGGTGCCTCTGTAGGGTGTTTACAATTGATGTAAATCACTGTTGTATAACAATCATTTGTTTTAATGGATATTTTAACTTTCTGTACAAGATTTGAATTTTATCTTTGATGTGTGAATCACCGACTGGAGTCATGCTGTTAAACTCCCAGTTTATGCTCTAATCCATGGTTACACTGGGATGTGGTATGACCTAGAACAGTGGTGGGCAACCTTTTTTTTCAACTGAGCCAAATCTCGCCAAAACCACGATTGAAATTTATTTTGAGAGCCACATTTTTAAAACTGAAAATACATCCCCCATATAGTAAGTCCCCCCCCCCCCCCATATAGTAAGTCCCCCCCCCATATAGTAAGTCCCCCCTGTGTCAATTCACTTACCTTTGCTCCGCACGTTCCTCTCGCTGTGCTTCCCGCGCCGTTCTGGTCTTCAGGGCGGACTGTGAGAGGAGAGGAGTTCGTCACGCTGCCCCGCCTACATCCTGACAGCTGCAGAGTCCTGACTTTTGGGGCGGCCGTCCGAGGGAGGAGGGAGGGGAGGGGAGGGAGGGGGGGGCCCGCCCGGCACACGTGGGGGGGGGGCCGCCCGGCACACGCCCGTCCGAGAGGAGGGAGGGGAGCGGGCGCGCCCGGCACACAGAAGAGCCGCATTTAAGCTTGTAAAGAGCCGCATGTGGCTCGCGAGCCGCGGCTTGCCGACCACTGACCTAGAACATCTCACAAATCTCCATACTGGTTTTAGTCAAACTTTTAATTCTAGTTACCATTGAGAGGAGTTGTACACATTCTCCCCTCAGAGGAATACCAATTAAACGGTTTTCTAAACTACAAAATATGCTTTTGGACCCCCCAAATAAAATCCAATTGTTTGCTATGATTACTGCACTTTGTCCACTTGTACTATGCGTTCATGCCTCCTACTGGACACAGCTCCCACAACTTTCTCCATTTTAAAAGGATACATTTACCTTTTAAAACAAGTTACAACCATATTTAGGGTGTAACATGTTTATGCAGCCCCTCCTAACTTCCCCTTCTTTGTCACAAAAGGTGGGGGTTCCTCTGCCCCAGAGCTGCAGTCACATTTTAAAATCACCAGGTCTACACACAGTGACATATTTCTTCATTCAAAGATTGCTGTGAATTACTACAGGTCCTGTCTGCCACTGCAGCAGACTGCTTGTAGTTCAAGGGACAGAGAGTGCACTACTGAGCACCCTTGTAGTCTGACACTTCCTCCAGCTTTTAAAGAAGTATGTGCAGGAAAGCTGGAGGCAGAGTGTGCAGGAACCTGACATTGCATCTACGATCAATTGATCACAGGTGAAATACTTTGCGGGCTCCTTTGAAAAACGTTGTACATTTTTGTCCCTGTAAAAATATGTGCATTTATTTTTCAGAAAGGTGAACTTGGCTTTTAAAAACCATAGATACAAGTAGCCAAGAAATTCATGCTGACTGATCAAATCCTGTTGGGTCCCAAAAACAACCTAGCTGTATTTAAAAATCATTACACTAAGCATAGGTTGAGTCCACATTAGCAGTTACTCCTAAAAGCATGTACCAACCTTTGCCTTTCCACTTATTGTAGCTTTCTTGTTGGTCTTCCATGATTTTCTTCAGTGCAGCCTTCTCTACATCACCCTCCAGAAGATCCCACGTTACATTCTTTTCTTTCAACTGTAAGTTTTTATTTGCCACCTTGGCTTTCTCTAATGCTTCTTTGGCACCACTCCTAAACAGGATAATTCCCTAAGAAGGAAACCAGGACAATTTAGCAAAAGAACTCATCAGTTGCCACCTAACTATTTCACACAGCAGATAAGTGAAAAATGGTAATTTGTGTATTACAGGTTTGTTTCATTTCCACCAGAAAGTGAACTCAAAATGTTTAGCAGTTAGGGGTGGAAGGTGCAAAATCTCCAAAACAGCTGCAGGATTTGGTCTTGCCTGCTATGCAATTTTTTTTGCTACTGCTGTGACCAGAGTGTTACTTAGATTGACTAACCCTTTTTAATGAAGGCAATAAGAAGCATTTAAGGGGCCAATATTACAGAAGTTCTACTAAGCGTTATACACACCTCCTTCGCACCCCTCCTGAAGTCAATCCACTTGATTTCACCATGAGCTTGAAATAAGGCATGGATATCTTCTCTGGAAGTCATATTGTCCAAGTCTCCTGAGAATTTTAAGAGGCAGCCAGTCTGTTCTTCCAAGGTTTTCTGTGCATAAAAAAAGCCATTTAATATTTTACACATTTAAAAAAAAAGGCCAAAAAAATAATTTGTTAGTGCCCAGCACCACATTGTGTCTATTCATATGGTACTCAGCCCCAAGCAGCGTAAAGAGCAGTTTACTTTTTCTCTTGCTGAGCTGCGTGCATACCTGTCAAAACACAGCGGTGTGGGGAAGTCCATACAGCTGCTGCTTATCCACTCATTTTATATGGGCTGCCTGCATGCACTAGTAGAAAGCGAAAAATAGCTCTGCACGAGGCTGAGCACCTGTGTGAACGAGCCCTTAAGCGGACAATACCACGCATACAAATCACTCAAACGCCACTGCCTGTTTTATGCCAGCCTCAGCCATCAAGACATTGACCGTTTGCCCTCCGGAGGGAGGCTGCGGCTTAAGTTTATGCCTACCATTTCAGCATCTGCTTGTTTGTGGGCATCTTCCTTCTCCCTGGAGACAAACAAAAATTGTAATAAGTGCTCCAGAAAGGAGAAATAGATTATGAATATACATTGCTTAAAATGGACGCAAGCTGGTTGAAAAAAAAAAAAAAAAAAAAAAAAAAAAAAAAAAGACATTGCCAAGTAACTTATTTGAATGGAGTTTAGAACACCTATTAGTTTTTTATTGCTGTCTGTGCCCCCGTTATGGAGATTCACCCTATTTGTCCTGTTTACCATTATTGAAAGCGAAAGTAAAGAAAATCCCAAATGGTGTTGTCCCCAGAAAATGAATAGAAGGGAAATTTTCCTATCGGGACACTATCCGTTAACCTGGGAATCCAAAGAATTTCCATCATTTGTGGGGATCACAACTCCTCCAGTCACCCCCCTCCTCCATCATTCGCTCCCTCACCCACATCTTCAATCTCTCCCTCTCTACTGGCGCATTCCCCTCCCCCCTAAAGCACGCACACATCACCCCCATACTCAAAAAACCCTCCCTTGACCCCACTGACCTAAAACAACCTTAGACCCATCTCCCTGTTGCCATTCACTTCCAAGCTCCTTGAGCGCTTAGCCTACAACCGCCCACCTCACTGACAACAACCTCCTTGACCCACTACAATCTGGCTTCCGTCCCCTACACTCCACCAAAACCGCCCTAAGAAAAAAATCACTAACGACCTGCTAACCGCCAAAGCTAATGGCCAACTACTCAGTCCTCCTGCTCCTCGACCTCTCCACGGCCTTCGACACAGTCGACCACCCCCTCCTCCTTACTAGACTGCACTCCTTTGGCGTCAGGGACGCTGCACTCTCCTGGTTCTCCTCCTACCTATCCCAGCGCTCCTTCAGCGTCACCTACAACGCTGCCACCTCCCCCTCTCTGTTGGAGTCCCCCAAGGCTCTGTCTTCAGGCCCCTCCTTTTCTCTATCTACACCTCCTCCCTTGGCAAACTGATACACTCCATGGCTTAAACTAGCAACTCTATGCCGACGACACACAAATTTACCTCTCCACCCCTCACCTCTCCCGCATCGCCCACCTCCTGAACGACATATAGACTGGATGTCGCTCCATTTCCTCAAGTTAAACCTGTCCAAAACCAAGCTCCTGGTTTTCCCCCCAGCCCGCGCCCCCCCCATCCTCTCCATCATGACTAGCAACGCCACCATCCATCCCACCCGACAAAGTCCTAGGTGTCACCCTGGACTCAAACCTTTCCTTCCAACCTCATATCCAATCACTATCAAAGTTATGCAGGCTCCACCTCCACAACATCTCCAAGATACGCACGTTCCTCACCCCAGACACTACTAAACAACTTGTACACTCCCTCATCTCATGCCTGGACTACTGCTACTCCCTTCTCACTGGCCTACCCAAACAAATGCTATCCCCACTCCAGTCTATCCTGAACTCAGCGGCTAGACTCATCCACCTCACCAACCGCTCCACATCTGCCACCCCCCTCTGCCAATCCTTTCACTGGCTCCCGATTACCCAACGCATTAAATTCAAATTACTAACTCTGACATACAAAGCCATTCACAATGCTGCCCCAAACTACCTAACTGACCTGATACCCAAATACTACCCTACCCTTTGCTCCTCACAGGACCTCCTACTCTCCAGCTCCCTGGTCTCCTCCCACGCCCAACTGCAGGACTTCTCCAGGACTTCCCCCATCCTCTGGAACTCCCTACCCCAATCCATCAGATTGTCACCTACCCTCCTCACCTTCAGGGTGCACCCTAAAAACCCGTCTCTTCAGGGAAGCCTACCCCACCCTCACCTAACAACCGATCTCCTCCACTCCATCCCCCACAGCCACTTCCTCCTGTACCACTATCCCCTCCCTCCTAGATTGTAAGCTCGAAAGAGCAGGGCCCTCGAACCCCTCGTGTATTGTACTGTATTGTCTCATGGTCTGTCCCCCTCGCTAATGTACAGCGCTGAGCACACCTTCGGCGCTATATAAATACTGTATAATAATAATCTCGCTTCCAGTTTTGGCAATAGGACAGGATGTGAAGGGAAATCTCCCCAATGGGACACAGATGGCAAAAAAAAAAAAAAAAATGAAAAAAAAAGGGGATACAACTCTCCCTTAGACCATCCAAAATGGGGGGGGGGGGGGGGGGGGGGGGAATACAACCACACATTTTGCCGATCGTTCTTCATGCCAAGATAAAATATTTAGGCCATAGTTACGGAGTTACTATCTTGCTGTTATGCGATTCCATGACTTTCATGCTCATTCACAGACCCAGAACAAATATGTACACCAGATGATCGGATGTCTATGGCTGCACACTTTTCACATCTTAACCTTCCCATACAATAAGAGGATGAAGATGACTAAAGCCCTATTTCTGATATGGATTCTGCCATGATTCCCTTGAGTGCTCGATGCATGGACCACTCAGGATGGATCAGACCTGGACTAGCTGCTTAAAATCCTCAGCTGTAACCAGCTGCATACAGCACATGATGATCCTTCCCGGGTATAATTAGATTGTAAACTACCTTTTCATTACTAGAGAGCTACCATCAGGAATGATGTAGCAGGATACATATGCACTTTTAAGATTCGGCCCTTTCAGGATTTTTGCACTTCATTGTTGACAAGATATCAACATGCAATGTTCACTCTGTAGCGCCCACAATAAAAATGTAAAATCTTCCAAGGGGGGACAAATGTTAAGTAACTGAGAAGCAGTTCCCCTCACTTCCTATTGTGAATCTGGGACAAGTGAAGCTATCAAAAACACACAAGCTTTCGTACGCTGATGGCTTTAATTATACTTTAAGGCTTTATGCAACCTATGATCCTTTGGATGCGTTTTCTTACAGGAGAAAACAAACCACACACCCCCCCTTCACTCGGTAAAAAATTTTTTTTTCACAAGCGCTCGTGTGTTTGGTGTTAATGCATCCTATTGGACAGAATATGAATTTATCTTGTCAATTAGAAGGCATACATAAACATACATTTATGCAGGTTTTCTGCCCAAATGTGCCACTGAACGTGCAAGTGATTTTGTTGCTCTAAACACTTGTGTGCATGAACACAGGCTAGCATGGAGGGGTGTTCAGAGGCAGAAGAGAGGCAAAAGAAAGAAAAAACAAAAACCACATACTTAATCATACACCTGTAAAACATGTTTTTGAGCTACAATGCGCATGAGGCCTTAGGCTATTCTCCATAATAGACATAAAAACACTACCACCAACCTTGTCCAGGCAGCAGCTTTAAAGCACAGCCATGACGACAGATTTTAAAGTCTACAATGGATAAACAAAGCCTACACTCCCGTTAAAATGTCAGGTTTTGGTGATGTAAAAAAATTAGACGAAGAAATAACTTCAGAACTTTTTCCACCTTTAATGTGACCTATAAACTGTACAACTCAATTGAAAAACAAAATCTTGGGGTTGCATAAGTGTGCACACCCTCTTATAACTGGGGATGTAGCTGTGTTCTGAATTGAGCAATCACATTTAAAACGTTAAATAGGAGTCAGTACATACCTGCCATCATTTAAAGTGCCTCTGATTAACCCAAAATAAAGTTCAGCTGTTCTAGTAGGTCTTTCCAGACATTTCCTTAGTCACATGCTATAGCAAAAGCCATGGTCTACAGAGAGCTTCTAAAGCATCAGAGGGATCTCATTGTTAAAAGAGTATCAGTCAGAGAAGGGTACAAAAGAATTTCCAAGGCATTATATATACCATGGAACACAGTGAAGAATCAAGTGGAGAAAATATGGTGCAACAGTGACATTAAGAACTGGATGTCCCTCCAAAATTGAAGAAGATGAGAAGAAAAAAAAACTAGTCTGTGAGGCTGCCAAGAGGCCTACAGCAATATTAAAAGGAGTCTGGCTGTGTGGTACATGTGACAACAATCTCCCATATTCTTCAAATGTCTGGGCTATGGGGATGAGTGGCAAGCCTTTTCTTACGAAGAAAAACATCCAAGCCCGGCTAAATTTTGCAAAAACACATCTGAAGTCTCCCAAAAGCATGTGGGAAAATGTGTTATGGCCAAAAGGTTCAACCTTGGTTTCATCAGACCAGAATTCCAAAAGATATGCTTGGCGCAAAAAACACTGCACATCACCAAAAGAACACCATACCCACAGTGAAGCATGGTCGTGGCAGCATCATGCTTTTGGGCTGTTTTCTTTCAGCTGGAACTGGGGCCTTATTCAAGGTAGAGGGAATTATGAACAGTTCCAAACACCAGTCAACATTCAGGCTTCCCCTAGAAAGCTGAAGAAGATGGACTTCATCTTTCAGCATGACAACGACCCAAAGCATACATCCAAATCAACAAAGGAATGGCTTCACCAGAAGATTAAAGTTTTGTAATGGCTCAGCCAGAGCCCAAAACTGAATCCAATCAAAAATCTGGCGGGTGATCTGAAGAGGGCTCTGCACAGGAGATGCCCCCACAATCTGACAGATTTGGAGTGTTTTTGCAAGAAAGAGTGAGCAAATGTCCAGATGTGCCAATTTGATAGACTCATACCCAAAAAGACTGAGTGCTGTAATAAAATCACAAGGTGCTTCAACAAAGTATTAGTTTGAGAGTGTGCACACTTATGCAACCATATTTTAGTTTTTTTATTTTTACTTCCCTCCACCTAAAAGATTTCAGTTGTTTGTTCAACTGAGTTGTACAGTTTATAGGTTACATTAAAAGGTGGAAAAAGTTATGAAATTATTTATCTGTCTTTTACATCAACAGAAAACCTGACATTTTAACAGGGGTGTGTAGACTTTATATCCACGATGTTAAACCATAAAAAAGGTTTATTTTGGTGGTGTAACAGCGTTAGGATCAAATGGTTTATGGTTTGTTCCCTCTTGGGATTTCCTGATCTCTTCCCATCCCAATGACCATGAAATACAGGTGTTGGGGAGGGATGAGATCTCTCTTTACTAGGGACAGAAGTTCCACCCTTCCCACAAATAGTTTGGCAGGAATCCATAAACACAAATGTCTAATGATCTGAAAGTCAAATTAAATAAATAGTACAACAATTAAAAATGCATCTTTCCATGTGTCCATCTTTTTTTCTTCAACATTACCATGCATACTCACTGCTTGTGTTTTGCTTTGAACTCTGACTGCCTCTGCTTCCTTTCTTCATTCTTCTTTGCAAAATATTCTTCCCTAACAGAAAGTGATGGGACATTATACGAATCAAAACTAAAGTTAAAAAGATAAGCACATTACCCAATACTTTTATTAAAAAACCATATCAGAAAAGCAGGTGTAATCACAGACTACAACAAGCTAATTACGTTTTTAGACGCTTACTTGGATAATACGATCATATCACAGTCTTTAAATTTAAGGTCTGTATTCTCTAAGAATTTCTTGGCAGTATCTTCTGTCTCAAATACAACAAAGATTGAACCCTGTATTGGGAAAGGAGACCAAGATAAATACACAGATACCCTTTTAGCTACAGTATTCTGAAACATAATAAATAATCCAAACCTTGAATGCCTTATCAAGTGCTCGCCTCATCTGGATGTTCTCAATGGGACACTTTTTTTCCAACCATTCCTTTATTTCATCCAAGGATGTGTCCAGCTGAAACCCTTTCTGTGAAAGTAAACATTTTCTTTAGCAATGCATGATCATCGCTGCACATTGTAGATTCCACTGGGCAGCGCCATGTAACCAGATTACAATCTACGAGTCACACCAAGCCTTACCAGCCAAAGAAGACATGCTGAGTCTTTGTTCAACTACAACTGGAGGTGAACCATAAAATTTTAAAAATAAGAAACCTGAATGTCTGACCTGTGCTGTGGAGCAGCATATGGTAATCTATTGCTGAAATAAAACACATCAGCATCTCTAAAAGGTCATTATGAAAGATTTTAAAAGCCAAGTTCACCTTCTGTAAAAAAACAAAAAAAAAAATTTTACAGGTGAAAAAATAACCAAAATTAAATATATTTTTAAAACTCAATCTCTTAAACTGAGCCCATAATATTTCCTCCAGCCCATGCCCCCTCCCATGAGGTCTCCATCCAGATCAATAATACAACCATCAGTCTCTCCCCTCATGCCAGGGTGCTAGATGTAATCCTGGACTCAGACATGTCCTTTCAGCCCCAAATCCAATCACTGTCCAAATCTTGTAGACTTCACCTCCGTAACATCTCCAAAATACGCCCCTTTTTAACCATTTAAACAATAAGTTCACCTTTTTGACAAAAAAATGCACTTTTTTGCAGGTAAAAACAAAATGTGCATTTATTATTTTTGTCTGCAGGAGTCTGGAAAGCATTGCACAAGCGATCAGTAGATCACTGATGCCATGCAGGTCTCCTACAGATCTGTCAGAATGTCTGCTTGTCGTACGGGATGTACAAGCAAGCAGATATTCTGACAGGACGCTTCAATGAACTTCCACAGTGCTGTGGTAGTTCATAGAAAACTACAAGCAGACAGGTGCTAAGGCTGCTGGGACTTGTAGGCACCCATTCACAGAACTCCGAATGAACGCGACTGTGAATGGAGCCCTGTTTTCAAATCTGACAGATAATACAGGGAAACTTCTCCCCATACTGTTAGAGGGAGGGGAGGTGGGGGGTTCTGTGGTCGCAGCTGCAGCTATGGGAACATGTTACATGTTCCACCCATTTTTAGGGTGGAACATGTAACATGTTCCCAAAGGTCAACTTATCCTTTAAGCAACTTATTCACTCCCTTGTTATGTCTTGCCTTGACTTTTGCAACTCCCTCCTCACTGGCCTACCTCATCGCAGGCTACCGCCCTCTGCAGTCTATCATGATGCTGCTGCCAGACTCATCCACCTCACCAACTGTTCCATGTCCGCCACCGCTCTCTGCCAATCCTTCCACTGGTTCCCATTGCCCAATGAATAAAATTCAAAACATTAACATATAAAACCACTTACAGCTCTGTAAACAAAATTATCTCCAGGCATGCTTTTTTCAGTTATTCTGTGAGTGGCTGTCTGCATTTAAAAGGTGTTATTTGTACTGAACCATTGGAGTTTTTACTTTACTCTTTCATGGCCATGGTTTCTGGGAGAGAGGCGCAAGGAGGATTGTGGATATACTGATATTGGCATACTTTATTTGGAGTTTCTCAAAGCGATATATGCCAACCATGAGAGGCAGGCATGAAAATTTGGTACGTGTACACCCGAAAGGGTAACACCTTCTTGAACACGTGGCGATTCCGGTTTTGGGAAACAAATAGAAGATTATCACGTTGGAATGAATTTATGGACTCTCATTAATCACATTACTTTATTAACAGCGCCACTGAATCACTTAGGGTTCATTTGTTTATCTGAGGGTTAGTGCCAATGTACAGGTTTATACTTTCTTCCACTTTCTATAATATAAGGTGTAAAATGCCAAGATGGTGTTGAATTTAGAGACAATTGGAAACTCTCTCTTCCAACAATAGAAATGTTATGCTTGTTTTTATAAGATTATGGATCCTGTCTACTTACAATGTAAACCGATCTATTCTTGATTAAATTTTTGTATTCTTCTGTGACTTCTGGCAAAGGTTTGTTAGGGGATCTTCTAATTCTGGATTTTTCCTCATCAATTTCCAGCAGGCCTGTCTTGGATTTTTTAAGTGCTCCCACAATGATTCCAAAGTCTTTGGTCAGTTTGTTTAACCTAGAAGGATATTAAGAAAATGAGACGTTCCATACTAAAATTTGCACCAACCCAGACAGCACCAGATAATTACCTGTTAAACTTGATCATAATTTCCAGTGGCACCCACCCATCATCAAAAGAAATCTGTTCCTTTAGGAATTTGTCTCGTGGAAGGTTATGGTCACCAAAGTAGTACTGAAAAGAGAAACAAGTTAGGTGTTCAGGTACAGGTATGTACTGTATCAAAATCAAAGCTTAATCCTCTACCCTGCAAGATATCAAGATATACAGTGAAGGAAATAAGTATTTGATCCGTCATCATTCAGCAGGATTTCTGGCTACCAGGTGTCTTTCATACAGGTAATAAGCTGAGATTAGAAGCAGTCTCTTAAAGAGAGTGCTGCAAATGTCATGTTACCTGTATAAAAGACACCTGTCCACAGGAGCAATCAAATCAGATTCCAAACTCTCCACCATGGCAAAGACCATGGATGTTGGGGACAAGATTGTAGACCTACACAAGGCTGGACTGGGCTACAAAACTATCGCCAAGCAGTTTGGTGAGAATGTGACAACAGTTGGTGCAATCATTCACAAATGAAAAACACAAAACAACTGTCAGCCTCCCTAGGTCTGGTGCACCATAAAAGATCTCACCTCGTGGAGTGTCAATCATCATGAGAACAGTGAGGAATCATCCCAGAATTACACTTGAAGATCTGGTCAATGATCTCCAGGCAGCTGGGACCACAGTCAGCAAGAAAACAATTGGTAACACTACACCGACAAGGATTGAAATCCTGCAGTGCCCGCAAGGTCCATCTGCTCTAGAAAGCACATGTCCATGCCTGCCTGAAGTTTGCCACTGAAAATCTGAATGATGCAGAGGACGACTGGTTGAAAGTGCTGTGGTCAGATGAGACCAAAATTGAGCTCCTTGGCATCAACTCAACTCACCGTGTTAGGAGGAGGAGGAATGCTGCCTATGACCCCAAGAAAACCATCCCAACTGTCAAACATGGTGTGATACATATGTGACTGAGAAGTGATTGACACTCAACTGTCATAATGCTAACGATTATAACCATTAGATGGGTAACTGGAGTTCAAAAAACATGTTGGAAGTGTACATTAAACCAGTTAAAACCAGTTGAAACCAGAGATGTGGCTGATATTCACCAGATGTGCATTCCATCAAAATAGGTAACTACGCGTGATGGCACAGCCGATCACGCGTTGACTCTAACTACTCCGCAGAATCATACATGACGTTATACAACCAGGAGATACTGCGCATGGCAGTAGATAAAGACATTCCAAACTATGTATATAAAAGACGGGGGATTCTAGGGGAATTTGGGACTCATTGAAGATGCGGCAGACGTGCCTTTGATTTCCCGGATTCCCCTTTGCTGACTGTTGGGTCCCCCAGTCACTGGGCAACGGGTGACAATATCCGGTGAATTGATGCTTTATTCTTGCTATAATATGATCTAAATATGATTTGCAATTCTGACAATTCTTATGTTTTTATACTAACAGAACTTATTCAATAAATCATGTTTTGCTGTAATATTTATTAAGCCTAATCCGTGTATTAGTGAGCGATTGTAGTAGTGTTAAAAACACTTTGTTTTGAGGCAAAATGGTGGTGGAAACATTCTGCTTTGGGGGTGTTTTTCTGCCAAGGGGACAGGACAACTGCACCACATCAAAGGGACGATGGACGGGGCAATGTACCTCAGCCAGGGCATTGAAAATGGGTTGTGGATGGGTGTTCCAGCATGACAATGACCCAAAACACACGGCCAAGGCAACAAAGGAGTGGCTCAAGAAGAAGCACATTAAGGTCCTGGAGTGGCCTAGCCAATCTCCAGACCTTAATCCGATTGAAAATCTGTGGAGGGAGCTGAAAGTTCGAGTTGCCAAACGTCAGCCACCAAACCTTAATGACTTGGAGAGGATCTGCCAAGAGGAGTGGGCCAAAATCCCTCCTGAGATGTGTGCAAACCTCGTGGCCAACTACAGGAACGTCTGACCTCTGTGACTGCCAACAAGGGATCTGCCACCAAGTACCAAGTCATGTTTTGTGAAGGGGATCAAATACTTATTTCCCTCATGAACATGCAAATCAGTGCATCATTTGTTAGACATGCATTTCTTTTGAATTTTTTGTTGCCATTCTGTTTCTCAGTGTTACAAAACACCTACCATTCGATTTGATTTTTAGAATAATCATTTCTTTGTGAGTGGGAAAACATTCAAAATCAGCAGGGGATCAAATACTTATTTCCTTCACTGTACTTAGCTTTCCCTTACCTATGTTCAGTCCTGGAAACTAAAAAAAAAATACCCAGTGCTACTGAGTACAGAGGAGCATGCAATTCACCCATGTGACAGAGGGAATCAGCACTGTGTGAACCACAACTCTGGTGACTTGGAATGTTTAGTCCCAAGCTGTTGAATAGTGCATGGCAGGGGGTGGGGGCCAAAGGAAGGCGAATTATAGATAGATAGATAGATAGAGAGAGAGAAATAAAAGTTAACACCCCCCCCCCCCATTCCCCTTTCATCCTCCCCTGATCGCCATCCAAAAGACATTTTAACTTGCCTGAAGCCATGATCACATCACACTGCCAGCCCAAGTCTTCTCTTCTGTTCACTTTCTATAAGGGTCCTTCAGGTGTCCACATCAGATTATGAAGGCATGGACACTTTCTATTGGGTGCCCGTTGGAGGGGGGTGAGGAGAGAAGAGGACGACCTCCTCCCAGAGACTGCAGGAGGCCAGGATCTCCAGGCTCCTTCACAGCAGTCCCCACACCATAACCAGAGGCAGTAAGGGAACTTGCCTGAAGACTGGGTGAGCATATCTACCTTCACCAGGTAAGGGATGGGGTGGAAAAGCACTAGGAAGAACTATAGGGGTAGGTAGGATTAAAGTTTTCCGCCCAGAGTAGGGCCTTCAAGTGAATGCACAAAGGGATACAAAGATAACAATCAATCCTCACATCAGTATAAAGGTTCCCTTTGCTTTTAACCACTTCAATACCGGGCACTTTTACCCCCTTCCTGCCCAGGTAAATTTTCAGGTTTCAGCACTCACACTTTGAATGACAATTGCGCAGTCATGCAACACTGTACCCAAACTAAATTTTTATCATTTTGTTCACACAACTAGAGCTTTCTTTTGGTGGTATTTAATCACCATTGGGGTTTTTTATTTTTGCTAAATAACAAAAGACTGAAAATTAAAAAAAAAAAAAACCTGCGTTTTTCTTTGTTCGGTTATAAAAGTTTGCAAATAAATAACGATTCTCCATAAATTTAGGCCAAGATGTATTCTGCTACATTTATTTGGTGAAAATAACCCAAATCAGTATTTATTATTTAGTCTGTAGGAAAGTTATAGAGTTCACAAATTATGGGATATAACTGAAAATTGATCAATCCTGAAGTACTGACAGCCAATCTAATTTCTTGAGGCCCAAAAATGTCAGAACAGTACAGATATCCCCCAAATGACCCCTTTTTGCAAAGTAGACAGTCCGACGTACTTCATAAGAGGTTTTTTGAAGTTGTACATTTTTTGTCAATTTTTCAGACAATGAATTAAAAAATGTTCACAATTTTTCTTACATACTGTCACCAGTGCAGTACAGCATTGTCATAACTGGCATGGTGGTGATCAGGGACACTGACTGGTGACAGTATGAAAAAAGATGATTTTCTTTAAAAAACAATTTTCGTACTGTCACCAGTGTCCCTGATCACCGCCACGCCAGTTATGATGCTGCTGTACTGCACCGATGACAGTATTACTTTTTTTTCATATTACACTATGGCCAAAGTAGTATAATGTTACTTATGTAACTTTTTTTTTTTTTTTTTTACACACAATTTGATTGCTTATAGCAAAGAATTTCTTTGCTATAAGCATTTAACTGAATGAAAATCGATTTATGTAGGTTTTTTTTGTTGCGATTAGCTGTGATTGGCCACAGCTAATCACATGACACAGATGGGCTGTGATTGGCCCAGCCTGTGCATGTGGTCACTGTGACCATTCACAGCTAGACACTTGTATAAATTGGATGGCATGAAAGGAAGCCATCCATTGTTTACAACTGTCATGTGACCTACTGTGATTGGTCACAGCAGGTAACATGGTACTGGCAACGGGGCCAGTACACAGATCTGTCATAGGCCGTGTCTGAGGTACACAGCTGGTGACAGATCTCGCCACAGCGCAGCAGGCACGCGCAAGGCGCGATCTGGGGAAGGCATCATAAAGCCCTCCCGGAGGGATGAGAGGCTCGCCTGCCGTCATTTTACTATAGGCTGGGCGGGAAGTAGTTAAGATTCATATTATAAAAAAGCAAACTGGTTTTGCGATCATTGGTGCCATCACGCCACCTCCCCCCTCCTCTCAAAATGCACAGCAAATGGCAGGGCATTACAAAAACATCCCGCCCCCATGTTATACTGCATTTGTTCAATACCCAGCCAATAGAAATGAATAACTGTACCAGACAACTATTCATTCCTACAGGGACTGAAAGACACAGGTGACCAAAACAGTGCAGGATAGAGCACAAAGCTCTGGTTCACAACGGTGCGACTTGTCATGTGATGACAGCATGACAAAGCTGCACCGTATTTGTGCCTATGAAACTGTTCAAATCTGTGTGACTGCGACTTTTCAGTGCGGTACTGATTTTTGAAAAAAAAAATGTAAAAGATTTTTTTTTAAAAGCCATTTTTGGCGCTTTCATGTGCACCTTGCGAAGACATCTGTGCATGAAGTCACATGAAATCGCACTGACCAGCAGCTTTGAAATCGCTCTACTTCAAGCGCAGAAGTGTGATTTCAAAGCCACATTCAGTGTGAACCAGGGCTTAAATAAACTGTCTGCATCTGAGATCTATATACCAAGTCTCCTCCAGAAAACACTATGCTTACTAGCAAATGTTTGTTTTCAAGATACAGTTCTAAAAGCTTATTTTATTAGACAGTAAACTTACCTCAATCTGCTGACAGATCTTTGTGTCCAGATCAGACACTTGTTCTTTATCACCATTTTCAGCCATTTCAAATCCTAAAAACAATGTGAAAACCAGACCCGTGTAAATCACCCGGCATTACAACACCGTTACATAAACAGTCATCAATGCACAAGCTTGAGGTTTGTATAGTTTGGTTATCTGCTCCCTGGCAGTTGTTATAGGAGACTGAATCAGTCATTGTGATGACAGAGGAAAAGTACAAACAGTGTCATGTCATGCAGATTAATTTCAGTATAATAGACAGACCACAAAAGTACTAGGACACAAGCCATCATATTAGCACAGAGACCCAGTCATCCCAGAAGGGCCATACCAGAGATTTGAACATATATGTATATTAACGTTAGATGGAGTGGAAACTAAAGGGATCCCATATCAGGCTTTTACAAAGCTTTATTTTAAATGTAATAAATTCTGTAAACTGTTTATTGCTGGCTGCATTGGGGACTACTTGTCACTGCTGCAAGAACACAACCTGTTTGAGGTAATCCACGCGTTTCATCGGGCATATTCTATTTACCTGAGCCACTTGCCCGCCTGAGGATTTACCCCCCTTCCTGACCAGGCCATTTTTTGTGTTATGGAGCTGCGTTACTTTAACCACTTGCCTACCGGGCACTTATACCCCCTTCTTTACCAGGCCAATTTTCAGCTTTCAGAACTGTCGCACCTTGACAATTGCGCGGTCATGCAAGATTGTACCCATATGAAATTTTTATCATTTTTTTTCTCACAAATAGAGCTTTCTTTTGGTGGTATTTAATCGCCGCTGGGTGACTTTACTTTTTGTGCTATAAACAAAAATATATTGAAAAAAAAAAAAAAAAAAGTTTTTGTTTCTATTATAAAATTTTTCAAACAGGTAATTTTTCTCCTTCACTGATGTGCGTTGATGAGGCAGCTGATGGGCACTGATGGGCGGCACTAATGAGGTGTCACAGATAGGCAGCACTGATAAGCGACACTGATGATGGGTACTGATAGACAGAACTGATAGGTGGCACTGACTGGCATCACTGCTGGGCACTGACTGGTGCCACTGACTGGCAGCACTGCTGGGCACAGGTGGGTGGCACTGGTGGGCACACTTGTGCGACAATGCTGGGTGGCACAGGTGGGTGCACTGCTGGGCACAGGTGAATGCACTGTTGGGCACAGGTGGGCAGAGTTAGTGGGCACACTGCTGGGCACAGGTGGGCGGAACTTGTGGGTGGCACTGCTGGGCACCGATCAGGGCACTGATAATCAGTGCCCTGATGATCGGTGCCGATCCCCGCTCTAACAACTGCCGGTTCTTGGCAATACTTTCCTCACGATCTGACAGCTGAGGAAAGGCAGCCGAGAACCGGCAATTGCATTTCCCGGCGGATCAGCGTGTCATTGGACACAGCTGGTCACGTGGTAAAAGGCCGCTGTGATTGGCCTTTTACCACATCACGTGATCAGCTGTGTCCGTAGGACACAGCTATCACGGTGATCGCCGGGGTGCGCGCCCCTGGAGAGCGCGTTCTGGGAGGACGTCATATGACGCCCACCCAGAACTGGCCGGCCGCAGTGCAGCCTTCATTTGGCTATCTGCGGTCGGCAAGTAGTTAACTGAGAATTGTGCAGTTATGCAACGCTCCACCCAAATGAACATAAGTCCTTTGCCCCCCACGAATTGAGCTTTCTTTTGGTGGTATTTGATTGCCTGTGGGCGGTTTTAATTTTTTTTGCACAAAAAAAAAAAAAAAAAAAAACAATTGCAATTCGTGTAAGTTAATTGGTTTGCATGAACATTATAGTGTTTACAAATGGCAGTATATACTGGGATTTATTAATTTTTTTTTTTTTTTGTACTAGTAATGGCGGCGATCAGCGACTTTTATCGGGACTGCAGCAGACATTGTGACACTGGAGGACTGACATCCCCAGTGACACCAATACAGTGATAAGTGCTAAAAGAAAAAAAAAAAAAAAAACTACACTGTACTAATGGCACTGGGCAGGAAGGGGGTTAACATGAGGGGCGATCAAAGTGTTAACTGTGTGCAGGGAGTGTTTTACTAGGGGGCGGTGTGTGTGCTTCACTGAAACCACACTGCTTTGGATGGCCATCCAAAGCAGTGTGCCCAAGCTGACAGGGAGGAGAACGGTAAACAAAACAGTTCTCCCCGTTGCAGATCGGTAATCACAGGACGCCAGCGAGTAATCACCGGCCGGGACCCAGTGATTGACAGCCGCAACACCAGCATCACGCATATATGCGGCCTCTGGGCAGGTGAGCCTTAATGCCAAGGGTCCACATATGTGGGTACCTAAAGGAAAACAGACCTGTATCGAGAAGGTGCACTCCCGGTAGAGTTAACATTGGCTAACGAAAGGCTCCCGAACGCCACTTGCATCCTACGGACACAGCTGATCATGGGGTATGGCAAAAGGCCAATCACAGCGGCCTTTTACCACGTGATCAGCTGTGTCCAATGACACACTGATCACCGGGAAATGCAATTGCCAGTTATCGGCTGCACTTTCCTCACGCTGTCACAGCATGAGGAAAGTACTGCCGAGAACCAGCAGCTGTCAGAGGGGGTGATCAGCACAAATAATCAGGGCACTGATGATCGGCGCCCATCAGTGCCACCCACCAGTGACGCCTTGATTTTTTTTTTTATAGCGCAAAAAATAAAACACCCAGCGGCGAGTAAATACCATCAAAAGAAAGCTCTATTTGTGTGAAACAAATTATAAAAATTTCATATGGGTACAATGTTGCATGACCACGTAATTGTCATTCAAAGTGTGGCAGCACTGAAAGCTGTAATTGGCCTGGACAGGAAGGAGGCATAAGTGCCTGGTAGGCACGTGGCTTAAAGGACACGACACCCAGCAAGAGCACAATGGCAGCAAATCCATCCACTGCTATATGTGATCCTACTCCGGAGACTCTGAAACGTTAGGACCGCAGTATACCTGGACGTGGGCACTGTGGCTTACACATAGATTTGCAAATATCTCTGTGCTCATACAGGCAGATATACTGACAGGAAGAATCAAACTACCACAGAGCTCACAGCAACATGCTAGTTCACTGAGAACTGCAAGCCGACAACCACAAAGGATGTTGGGACTTGTAGTTTATTCATTCACATAACACCCTGAATGAATGACACGGCCATGTGGGTGGAGCCTGCACAGCCGTTCTCTTCAAAGTGACAGATAGTACGGGGAACTTCTCCCTACACTGCTGTCACAGGGAGAGAGGACCACGGGCAGAGGCTGCAGCAGTGGGGACATATTACATGATCCATTTTTAAAATGAGTCATGTAACATGTTCCCAAAGGTGAACTTATCCTATAAGCCATCCACTGCTATATGTGCTGCTGCTCCTCCTCGTGCCGTCCTCCTCCTCCGTACGCGCACACACTCATGTCCTCCTCCGTACACACACATGTCCTCATGTCCTCCTGCCCTCCGTACGCGCACACACTCATGTCCTCCTGCCCTCCGTATACACTCTCCTCCTGTCCTCCTCCGTACGCGCGCACACACTCACGTCCGCCTCCGTACCGTACACACACTGCTCGTGTTCTCATTGTACAGATACAAAGGAGTCGGGCATGTGCTGCTGCAAACACACCGGCCTCCTCCCCCCTCCGCACAAATGGATCCCGGACAGACCACGTGTACGGAGAGCGCCGTCTAGAACAGCCCAGACTCTGGCCGGTAGTCACACGTGGGGCGGTAGGACGCTCTCCGCACTATACCGCCCCCCATCCGCGCCGCCCCCGATGCACACACACCGGCCTCACCTGAACACGCCGTTCTCCGCACACAACCACTCGGCCCCGGCCGTTCTATGACGCGCAGATTTAAAGGCCGTGCCGGCTCAGTACCGCCCCCTCCCGGCATGCAGCAGCCGCACACTGGCCGGGTGTGACGGATAGGGGTCACGTGGTCTTCCAGTGAGCCGTGTTCATGGTGTCGGTGCTGAGATCACTTCCGCCTCTCGTGCCATAGTTATCACAAGAAGAACCTCATATTCATGTTACATCGGACCAGGCTGGATCAATGTGTTCATAGAAAACGGCCTACACACCTCTATATACGAAGGGTACAACAAATAGGCCCAGGCGTACTACACTGAGCTGCACTGCCAGAGGCGACACACTGCCGTGCCAGGATTCCTCTACAGACCTTGATGTAAAGGGGGGGACTCTGATGTAAGGTGGTCTCTGGTCACCAGAACCCAACCTTACAGTCCACATAGTTCTTTACAGCAGAGTTCCCCTTTATATCACAGTCCACAGAGTTCCCCTTTACATCACAGTCCACAGAGTTCCCCTTTATATCACAGTCCACAGAGTTCCCCTTTATACATCACAGTCCACAGAGTTCCCCTTTATATCACAGTCCACAGAGTTCCACAGAGTTTCCCTTTACATCACAGAGTCCCACAGAGTTCCCCTTTATATCACAGTCCACAGAGTTCCCCTTTTCATACATCACAAGTCCCAGAGTTCCCCTTTATTCCCCTTTATATTACAGTCTACAGAATTCCCATTCACATCAGAGTTCCCCTTTACATCACAGTCCACAGAGTTCCCCTTTATATTACAGTCTACGGCTGCGGCTGAAAATCACCAGATCCCGAATGATTACTTGCCGGCGCCCAGAGATTGCCAAGCATCTCCGATGGGGAGAATTGTTTGTAAACAAGACAGTTCTTGTCAGCTCGTGCACACTGCTTTGGATGGCTGTGCACAGCACAACACACACACTTTTTTTTTTAGCACTGATCAAAGCAGTGTACTTAAAGTGAAGCACATAGTAAAAAAACAGCACTCAGTTAACCCTTTGATTGCCCCTCATGTTAACCCCTTCCTCCCCAGTGCCATTTAGTACAGTGTCAGTGCTTTTTTTTTTTAGCACTGATAAATAAAAAAACTGTATTGGTGTCACTGTGAATGTCAGTGACACCAAGTCAGTTCCCCAGATAGTGTCAGATTGCCCGCCGCAATCCCGCAGTTCCGCTATAAGATCACCACCATTACTAGTAAAAAAAATCCCAAAAAAACACCATTTGTAGACGCTATAACTTTCAGGTAAACCAATTCATTTACACGTATTGGGATTTCTTTTAGCAAAGACATGTAGCAGAATACATTTTGGCCTAAATTTTTTCAAAGTTTTTTCTCTGGACATGCTTAATAGCAAAAAGTAAAAAATGTTGTTTCTGAGAATTTTTTAATCTTATTTTTTTTTCTTTATAGCACAAAAAATAAAAAACACACAAGCAATCAAATACCACTGAAAGAAAGCTCAATTCCTGGGGAAAAAAGGACGTAAATTTAATTTGGGTGCAGTGTCGCATGACCGTGCAATTGTCAGTTAAAGTAATGCAGCACCATAACGCAAAAAATGGCCTGGTCAGGAAAGGGGGGTAAATCCTCAGGAGGGCAAGTGGTTAATAGCAAAAAGTAAAAAATATTGTTTTTTTTTCTCAAAATTGGTGGTCTTTTTTTGTTTATAGCGCAAAAAATTAAAAAAGCATAGGCGATCAAATACCACCAAAAGAAAGCTCAGTTTCCTGGGGAAAAAAGGACGTAAATTTAATTTGGGTGCAGCATTGCATGACTGCAAAATTGTCAGTTAAAGTAACGCAGCGCCGTATTGCAAAAATGGCCTGGTCAGGAAGGGGGGTAAATCCTCTGGAGGGCAAGTGGTTTTAAAGGAGAATATTTATAATGAAGAAGTATAAGGCCTCGTTACTTGGGCACTGAGGACCCTACATCATGAATGGGCCACTTGTCAGCCCATTCAAGTCTATGAGGATGCAGCGGATGTGTTCAGGGCTGCTCACCTGCACCCACACACCTGTCACAGCCGCTGCCTGCATGAACCACCTGCCAGCTAGGGATGCATAAACAGAACCCATTCATGGTGTACAGGCCTTAGCGCCTTCATGAACATGACCTGAACCCTGCCATACACTGCTTGATTCCTGATGAAATTCTAGCAGTGGGTGCCCCATCAACAAAAGTTGATTGAAACTACAACTGCCTCTTACAGTGGACATTTTCTTGTTTTTCTGGCCCTAACCTGGTTTAGAATATTGAGACAATATCTAGATATCTTTATATGATGACTTTTTGTACTGAGGATGGGAAAAAAGTGTGTGTTCACCCTGTGAATTCCAGCAGCAATAATTTGCATATTCCTGCTCCTGGGATGACAGATGTGTGCAAAATGTTGCAGCTGCTCAGCCTCTACAATGAAATGACAGGCTGATGTTGGCTGTTGCACATATTTGTGACTGTTCTCCCAGCCAGTGATTGCCTGAGGTTGAAGACAGATGACTGTGGCTGGGTCCGGCCACCATCACTGCAGCCACCATCAGCCTGTCATTGCATTGTATAGGCTTTGTGACTGTGGCTCTGTACACACATCCACAGATTCTTGCAGGTTTGTCCTGCAATGGCATAGGGCAGCCCATTCACTTGAATGCAGCAAAAAACAGGAGAGAAGTGCAATCCATTACCAGGGGAGGACTGACAACTCATGGGGCCCCCGGGCAATAGGGGATCACGGGGCCCCTGTTGTCACGATCGCGGCGTTAGACCCCAGACCTTCTCACCCAAACTCGTGACCGAAGGACTAGCCGATCTAAAACTGCGATGTGACGTGCGTAACAATGCCACACCCAGCTGCACCCTGCACAACGATTTTCCGGCTATCGGGCCACAATCAATGCACCGGCAGCCTGAGCGATTATTACTTGGTCAGGTTAATTACGCAATTAACCCTTCACACTGCCACCACCTCCTTTTTATACAGAGAAAGAGGAAACTCGGCAATATCAGCTATAACACTATAATGATTGAAATAATCGTCTGCATAACACAGTCATAACCACAGGCCTGTTATACAGAGTGTTAAACAAACAGTAGCGTCTCTTTAGAGGTAGGAATTCGTAAAAGTTACCAGGGGCATCTCATGGGGCCCCCTACTGACCCCGGGCCCTCGGGCAGTGCCCGAGTTTCCAAATGGTCAGTCCGCCCCTGTCCATTACACAATTAACCTTTATTTTGAAAAAAAAAGAAAAAGCCATTACACTTACATGTCATATGGACAAGATACAGTGTATTATATGAGTCACCAGAAGCCAGTCTCAGTGGAGAAAAGGAATCCCAAAGCTGGAGAAATAGAGCAGTATGCTGGTGCATGGCCACTGATAAGGCAGTACAGCCGGCCCTTCTGTACCGGGCCTGGGCCCCCCACTAGTTTAAATAGGGGGGCCCAGGCACCTGCTGAGCAGGAGGGCCAGTTGTACTGCCTTTTTGCTGACACTTGTGACTTTTGAGGAATCCTGCAGCTGCTGGGGAAACACGGGGGATTGTTTCAGGATGGAGAACATGGGGCTGGTACGTATGTCATATTTACTGGTCCCTTCCTTTTCTGAATAACCACAGTGAGAGATCAGTACCAATAACCCTCCCCCCAACAGGGCAGTTAAAAAAAATATAATATATAAATGCTTTAAAAAAAAATGCTAAAAAATTAGGAGGCTTAGGCCGGCCATACATGAGTCAAAATGCGACTGATTTTTTGTCCAAAAATTGGACCTAAGAATAATCGGCTGATATTCGCTCTCAGTGGGTCAATGGCACCGGCCGATTTTCGTGGTTCCTCCCCTTTTTGGTGATTGGGCATGTTGGAAAATTCGTGAAAAACAACCAATTTTCGACTCAATGATGGTCAAATCGTACGATAATTTTTCCAAAAAGAATATGCGCATGAGCCGTGACCTGGAAGGAACAGAAGTTTCGCGTGTTATATGGCGTGAACTTTATGACTTGGTTGGCCGATTTTCTAAATCATTGACTGCACCATTGGATTACCAAGCACACAACGTTTTAGAAAAATCGCTCGGAATTCAAACCATGTATGGCCTGCATTACAGCCTCCTCACCGTCTGCTTTAACCCGGCACCAGGGCAATGAAACCACATTGCAGATGTGGCATTATAGTACAAAAAACTGTTTTAAAATTTTTGGGGGGGCTCTGTCAGGTAGGTTGTACAGGGCCCAGTGATTTCTAACAGCAGCCCTGTGCTGGTATGTGCAGCTAAAATGAATGGTGCTAATCCCCCAATATCTACAACACGGAGGCTGTAAATTCACAAATGATAAAAAATTATTTAAAATAAATACCAACCGAACAAATAATGAGTAAAATTTTATCTCAATGTACATTTAACAATATTGATCTAATGTGACTATATAAGTTAATATATGTAACCTAACATAATATAATGTTTTTAAAATTGCTATAAAAACAGATAATATTTATGAAATAAATATGCAGTTCAAAAACAAGAAACTTGTTGTTAATTCAGTACCAATGTTTATATATATAAATACACACACACGCATGCACGTCCATACGTATGATCAAATGTGCCACAATGAAAGTTATATATATATAATGATACATCGGTAAGCAGAATTCATGTTAATAATAATAGATGCCTGGGCGTGAGCAATAAAGATGATACACGCATATGTACACGCACATGAAGAACATTTTAACTCTCAATAACTGTTACTGTCCAAAATGGAGATTGTAAATGAATGATACATGAACTAATTAACACAAGCTATACACTCACCGGCCTCTTTATTAGGTACACCTGTTCAATTGCCTGGTAAACACAAATTGCTAATCAGCCAATCACATGGCAGCAACTCAATGCATTTAGGCATGTAGACGTGGTGAAGATGACTTGCTGAAGTTCAAACCGAGCATCAGAATGGGAAAGAAAGAGGATTTAAGTGACTTTGAACGTGGCATGCTTGTTGGTGCCAGACGGGCTGCTCTGAGTATTTCAAAAACTGCTCATC